ATTTTCATGCTAATTGTTCTGAACTTTCCTCTATGGTACCTAGACTTTATGAATTTAAGTGCAGTACTAGATTGGCAGTTCAGTCTCATTTTACAATTGAAATGGCTAGATGTAACTAAGTTCTATGCTAAGAGTTTCTTCTCTCACACTTCTCACTTGTGTTACTCTCTTCTTGCTTTCCAGTCAACTTTGAACTGGAAAAATTTAAATGTAATGTCAATCGTTATCTTCTGTCTTAATTCTTTTTATTTTATTTTTTTGTCTCATATTCTTTTGCACTCAGTAACCGCTTGTGTTTTAGTGGCTTTATTGCCTTGTTTGGGGTGAAATGATAAAATCAAAATTGCATTTTCTTCTAAAGTTCTGACATAGATGGTGCTCTGGTATGATTGCTGCCAAATTGCAAAATGGCTGAACACTAAAAGTTTTATCAGATTACTACTCATCCTTAGTCTGTACATACTGTACCCAGGTCAAAATTGGCATTGTCTTTCAGAGTGTTGTGCTTATATTTTATGCTAGTGTATAAACACTTGTAAAGATCATGCAATGCATTTTGTCCAAATATTAACTCTTTATGAGGGAAGGCTGAAAAGCTCTTACCTTGATCAAGGAGTTCCCTAAAATTCTGATGTTTGGTCATTTGGTCAGATTTTGGAATTTGGGTTGGGCAAAGCACTTTTCAACACACCCTTGTATGTTGATTGCTTAAACACACATTCCTGGCTGGTTATCACAGACAAGCCTACTTACTTTACTTCTAAAGCAAATGATGTAATTGTAATTTTCAGAAAATTGTATGTATTGTTTTTAATTTGTAAATTCAAACATCACTCCCATAAATTTTAAACCTGTTACAAGTAGTCATAATTTATATATTTTTAATATTGATTGTTTCTTTAAGAAGTGTGCGTGCACACACACACACACACACACACACACTGTACTAACTTTAGAACTTTATTATAATTACAGAGTAATAGTAAAAAAAAAAATCTGAATTTTTTTTTTTTCTATTCAATATAATGTCTTAGGCTATACAAGGAAGTAATGAAGTGTTCTTAGTCAAACCAATTCCCCAAATCCAAACAAATGATCAAACAACAGAATATATTTCAGTCCCTTCTTGGTTGGGCTGGGAACTTTATACAGAAAGAGATAAGGCATGAAAGTAAACTTTATTAAATGTGCTAACAGTTCCTTCATGAATTTTTTTTTTTTTTTTTTTTTTTGTTTCATTCATAATTTTTAATCATCTGCTAGAATCTCCATTGTAGTTGATTTTGTGGATATCAAATAAATATATACATTCAAATAATTTTTATTATACAACAAGTAACATTCTTGTGTCTATGTAGACAAAATTTGATGCTGGTTTATCTGTCATACTTTTGGGCTTTCCTTTGCCTTTTGACTTCTGGGCCTACTTGCCTCCAGGATGAACATGCAAAGGCTACAAATTCTCATGCTTCAGTTGATGCCCAAGTTCCTTCGGTTTATTTTACATTTTTGTAGCATAGTTGCAGTTTGTCTATGGCCAGCTCTCTATACAGGAGGTATTTGATCATTGGTTATTCACATGATGTGCCTTTGTTTTAATAGGGTGATGTGCACCCCCAGCCCTCTCAAGGAAGATTTTCAGAGGCAGCATGTGTGGAATGTATTGAACTTCCATTTCTGTCCAGTATGCTGTGTCCAAGTTTATATATATATATATATATATATATATATATACCAAGTTATGAAGAACTTGGTAAACCGTATGGGTAATTCCAAGAATGATCCGGCATCCTTTAAAAGGATTCTGGTGAAATAAATTATTGTAATGGTACCTTAAAGTGGTCTGTTTTTCATTAAATATATATATATGTGTGTGTGTGTGTGTGTACCTCCTAAAGAAATGCAATACCAAAGGTTTAAAATGAATTTTTAAAAAGTCTCTTGAAACTTATTTTAGTTTTAATTTCAAGCTAATAGATTAAATTTAATATTTCCAATATGCAAAATGCTTTGGTGTATTTCAAACTGAATTTAAATTGATTAGAAGGGGTTTTTCTGGGGTTTTTTTTTTTTTTTTTTAATTGCTAAAAATGGCTGATTTAACCATGTTTACAAATCTGCCAGCACATAATTCTTTCATTAAAAAATCTTTCTAAAATAAAATGTTTCTGGAACTTTATTTGTGGAAGATTAACATATTCAAAGTTTTATTCATCTGATTTGAGACAAATATTACTTAGTTTTAGTTTATAATAACCTTTTTTAAATATGGAGGTGGGTGTTTTTATGAGCTGGTAGCAACTCTCTCAATGGACTGGTTTTGATTTTTTTATACAGGGGAAAAATTACTTGAATATAATGTGAGTGCCTTTTTTAGATAGTTTTTTTTTTTAACTACCCAGTAATTTTAAAAATTTAGGGAAATATAAGTAACTTAATATTTTATTGAATTTTAGGTATTTTGGCTTTTAATTTACTATAGTTACTGCTCTTATTTTATGATAATGTCATGGATGGATGTTTGTATTTATGAAAAATGGCACATTTATACACAACAAATATTCAAAATTCTTTTTAAAATACTGGGGGTTGCTGAATTATAGTAAACTTTTCCATTTATGAGTAGTAAATATAGTTCTTGCTTAGTAACAATATCATCTAACTGCTACAAATTAATATAGAATTTTAAAAGACTTAAAACTTTCTAAATTATTATAATTAAAATGTTAAAAAAATGTAAACAATTCTTGTAAACAAAAAAAAAAAAAATTATTTGTCAAAAACATTTTATTTTTTTAAGACAATAGTGTCCATTATATATCTTATTCATAAAAGCAATTAAAACCTTTTCTAATTAAATACTGTCTTTGCTTTATTGCCTCCTGTATTTTACAATTCAGGACCAGTTTTCTGTAACTGGGGGTCTTATTTTACAAAATATAAAATTGATGGTTTAAATTCTCCAAGGAAGTGTGCTTATAATTAATATAAACATTAAGCCATACAAAAATTAATTTATAAATTTCATAAAATTAAGTGGTGGGGATGGTAACAGATTTTTATTCTAAAATAATTTCACTCATTTGGGAATAAGTCCTGAAAGTCATTAAAATCTGTTAATTATTTTATTTTTACAAGAATTTCAAGATTAGTGTGTTTTTCACTTCAAAAAGAGGCTAAAATTTCCTGCATTAAATTATGGCCACCCACTGATGCAAGTGAAAATTTTTTTAACTAAAATTTTCAAACTTCTAAAAAGGATTAAAGAAAATATTTTAATCAAAAAATCCCTTGGTCTTTCTTTTTAATAACAAAGATTTTGATGATAAAACTTTAAGGTTGAAGGTAGATATAATTTAAATAAGGTGGATTTAAGCAGCAAGTATTCATCTAAACAAGTTTGATTAGATTCCATTGACAAGGTTTGTTCATTCTCATTTTTATTGTCTTTCCAATTTCTGAATAAGGCTTTGTTTATTGGGATTAAAGCTATGAATAAATTGTCTAAAATTCTTTTTTTTTTTTTTTTTTGTTATATTCAACTACTTTCAACTATCACAGCATTCTCAGGGACAGGTATTATTATCAAGCATGATTTAACTAGATTCTGGCATATATAACAGAATTTTGCATGAATATCTGGTAAATTTTTGTTTAGAGAACATGAATGTTTTTGTTTTAGCATAAAGTCGGATTTGAATGGAATGTATGCTATTTTCACTGCTTCATGATAAAACTCACTGTAATTGTCTAACACAAGGTCTTTCAGTTTTTTTATTAATTATATAACGTCTCTGATTTATTTATTTAAAAAAAAAAAAATGACAACTTTTATTCACTTCAATGATTAGATATAGAGTGACACAACAAATTCAGGTAGCAGAGAGAAATGAAAAAAAACAAAAACAATGTCTGTATTTTAACAAAACGTAACATTTTAAAATTGGTAGGTTACAGTCTAGTTATTCTTTCTTTAGCACTATTGCAAGACTCCGTTGGTCTCAGGTTGTTTTTTTACACTTCATTTTAGTAGTGGTGGTGGTGGGGTTTAAACAGAAAAATTTCCAATTTTTGACTGAATATTTTAAATTTTATCATTCAAAGGGATTGTAGAGTATTACTGGTAGAATATGTTTAATGGAAATACATTGCTAATGGGTTTATTACATTTCAAATCGGAAAGAAAGGGCTTGTCAATAGGCAGCAATTAATTCAAGTTTTAATGAAAAAATGAGGTTATTATATGTATCATTAGAGTGGTTTATCAAACTATTACTGGGTTTGAATTTAGATAATTTTTTTTTTTTATGGCATCTTGGCACCAAATGAGAAACTGGCGATTTATTGGAATTCACTTATGATATAGTTAGATGTGAAGGTCATGTATTTAACTCAGAAATTGGCAGAATTACATTCACCTTTGCACAAATGTTGTTGGGAAAGGTATAAACCATTCCTTCTCCCTCCCTCTCTCTCTCTCTCTGACAGGTTAAATGGAAGGGCAGACTGGACTTCTCAGCTTTGGTTGGCAAGCAGTCTGGGAGAAGGAAAACTTGAATTCCAAACTGGTTGGGTATGGGGGCTAGCAACTCTATCCTGTCAAAAACTACTTTTTATGGTAACTGCAGCAATGACACTTGGTGTGATAAGCTCTGTGACTATACTCCACGGTGGAGTCTATGAGACTAGAGTGAGACATGTTTATTTATGAACGCTTTAAGCCTGCAATGTAATCCTATTTTTTTTTTTTTTTTTTTTTTTTTCAGAATATCACATATGCTTCAAGTGAGAAACAAATGAAGAATATTATATAGCATAGGATTATATTGAAAGATGTTTATTTATTCCTTTATTTCGTTAAGTATTTGCCACAAGAATTAGAATTCAGTTGTCCATGTGATTATCTGGTTCTTTCTTGCTTTTTTGAATCTATTAAAATGACTTACATCTTTTTCTTGAGGTATTAACTGTGGTCATTTTATTTTTCTCTTTAATTTCAGTGTCTTCCAGTCAACTCTGATTACTCATAATTCCTTTTCTTTGTGGTTTTACTATAATCTCTCAAACTGTCGTCGCCAGCATTGGACCAGGATCCTGCCGCCCCGGACCATACCAGGATGGCAGTCTCACGGGTGCCGACACCTCCACCTCCGGAGATGTCATGCCCTGTGGCAGAAAATTGGTGTTACACACAGGTAATATGCTTAATTTTTTTAATTTTATTTATTTTTTTAAATGCATTGAGTAAATAACCCAACTGAATATCGGGAAAGTTCTTTTGATTGAATACTCAACAGTTAAATGACACCCACCCTAAGCACAACAAAATAAAAATGTCAGAAAAATGGTTGTAGTGTATGCAGCTATATGTCTATGATCGTTTGGAAATAGTATTAAGCACTAGTTAGTTTACAACTCGAATGCTAGTGACCAACATTTCACAGTGTCTTGAGAATGTATGCATATATCAATAGCAGGCAATTTAAATTTTGTAAAGATGTATAAATATGTCCATAGCAATGGAAGTGTTAAGTAATTTATAAAACTTTGATGTAGTAATGTTTGCATTATTAATTAGGAGGATTACTGATGTTCTTACAAGGAGGTGCTGAAAAGGATGCACTATATTTCAATAGGATACACTACATTAGAAACTTAAGTGGAATGAGTAATATGTCTATGTTGGCGTGGGAAGAGCACTAAGCATTAATTAGTTTATAACAAAAATGCAAGGGAATGATATTTCAGTTATGAAAATTACATATATATATATATATATATATATATATGGGAAAGTTTAATGTATATTAAAAAAAAAAAGAGAGAAACTGCAAACGTTTTTGGTTATTATATGGATTTGTTTTAGTATAAACAAATCCACATAACCAAAAACGTTTGTGGTTTCTCTCTTATATATATATATATATATATATATATATATATATATATATATATATATGAGACATGTTTCATTGAATAATTTAAACAAGTTTTGTCTACTTCTTTGCAGTTGAATCCTTTCATATTCATGGACAGGCTTTTTGGTGTCATTATTAAAGGAAGGAAGAAAATTACTGTGTTTATACATATTATTTATTCCAAGTACTTTCGACATTAACACAATGTCATCATCATTAATCTTTTATATTATAACCAAATATGTTCTCATTATAAACAAGACAAAAATATCCTAAAAAAAAATTAATAACTACTAACATATCCACCACAGATCATAGTAAAAAAAAAAAAGAAAATTAAATATATACTACACTAAACCCAGTATTTCCAATTTATTTATTCATAATGACTTTCCCCACCAACTAATGTGTTGCAGAAAACCAACATTGAATATAAATTTAAATGTCCTCTGGGAGATTTTATCTCTAACAGAAAAAATATTTATGTTGCCCACACTATGAGCATATTTTCTAGGCTGCTGAGTTTTCATTTGAATGATGCGTCCAACATTTCTAGACATTTACAACAGCATACCTGTCCACATTCGCAATTCAAAAAAATTCTTGTTGAAATTACTTCTATACCTTTTCATGAAAATAATAAACATAAACTAAAAATTCTTGAACCTGTCTATATTAAAAAAATTGAAACCAAACCTTAATAAAATTAACTACTACATGAATGTTTTAAAATGTGTACAGTAGATTAAAATATTGAGGTTTGTACCAATGTTCTTAATACTTTTTTAAAAAAACTCTGCAACTCATAACTTAGTTACCTCCTCTGAAGCGTTACTCGGCTAATTGCGTTAAACTCATTCTTCACTTCTCTAGTAAAAAAAAAAAAAAAGTTTAACTTTAGATAAACACAGCAATTTTGTCTTTGAAAATAATAAACACTACTATATTTGTCTTGAAAAAGGCAACACCCTGATGATGACTGTGTGCTAATGTTGACCATACTCTGAATAAATAATTTTCTCTCTTCCTTTACTAATGACACCAAAAGGCTTGTCTGTGAATATGAAAGGGTCCAATTGAAAATAAGTACACAAAACTTGTGTAAATTATTCAATGAAACATGTCTCAATAAAAACATGCTGCTAAAATATATATATATATATATATATATATACACACACACACATTAACAGCAAGCAATGTAAGTTTTGTAAAGATGTATAAGTACATTCACAGCAGTCAGTGTTAATTAAAAATAAGTTTTTATTTTTTTTTCTTAAGTGAACTCATAATAAATGTTATTCATTTTCCATTAGATATAGAATCTAGATAATAGGGGAGTGCAAAAGTAGGTATACAATATGTATTATACCAGTATTAACATTTTGTATAATCAATACAATACATTTTGTACATACTTTTTTTTTTTTTTTTTTTTATACTGTACATGTACTTTTGCACACTCAGTATCTTGCTTATAATTTTGTCCCCTTTTAATTTGGGTTCATATGATTTTATTTGAATGTTAATTAATTTCAATTAAAGTAGTTTTCCTGTTTGCTAAAGCCATCATTAACCCAATTAACTTTAACTGATAAGAATTTCTGTCATTGAGTTTCTGATCTTAACTACAGGTGATGGAAATTTGACAATGTTAATGAATAAATTTTAATCTTCTGCAGTCAATGATACCATAATTTTTTGTTTTTGTTCATTCTTAGAAAAAATTGGTGCTCTTAAAAACCAACTATGGCTGATTTCTGTGGGGATGGACACATTGCCCACTTCTGAACTCTGTTCATTTAATCAAAGACACCATTATTTGACATATTCTGAGTGGAGGGGTTATTAAAATATAAAAATACATTTTAATATTTACATGGGCACATGGCCAAATGGTTAGAATACTTGCTTTCTGACCATGAGTCCCAGGTTCAGATCTCACCATGGTCAGTTTCTCTGGCAGGTGACTGATGTTATCAGCCTGGATAGGTGATCCCATAGGTGATCCCAGCACTATAGGAAAATGTCTGAAAACCATACTATGGATTAATCCAAGTCTGGAGTGAGATTGGGTAGATGGAATTATTAAGAAGCTGTCAATGGAAAAAAAATCGTAAGTCATCATGACTGAGGGGTCGAGTGTACTGGCCCTGTTCAAAATGTTGTTCATGGCACATTTTGCGTTTTCTCCTAGAAATAAAAAGAAATATAAGAAATAATATAAAGCACATGGGCTCTGTGGATCTTGAACAAATACAAATATGTCTGAGAAGGTGTCTGCAACAGATTTCTAACTTGCACTAGTAAATGGGTAGGCTCTGAAATGAGTGAATACATTTTACAGTTAGTTGACTGAATGCAAGAGATTTGAAACATTATCACTTGCACTTTTGAGCAAATTAGTAGTGATAAACTTCAATTGTTCTGATGTTTGTAATAGAATTTTTTTTTTCTCCAAGTTCACCAACTTTGTCATCGTGATTCTACTTTGCTTACATTATTTACATTGTAATTGTCAGTTGCCACTCGTAACAGCTTGGAATCGTATGACACAGCTGGTCAGTGAATGGGTTGTCTGAATCTCACTTGTTTTATGTATAGATAAACATCTTTTACAAACATAAGCCTACCCTATTTAAATTAGGCAATTTGGTCGGTGAGCAAGCTGCATTAGCCACAAAAGTAACAAAAATGCATTATCAGCTCAATGTGATACTGAGTAACATTTTTCACTGCTGCATTGTTATGGCATTGTTGCCTGTCTGTGCTGACTTGTTTTTGGGAGGAAAAATAAGAAATTGCCATTTATTGGAGATAAAGAATGAGAAAGACGCTGATGATGATTTCTCATTGGGGCTTCCATTTTGGTTTTGATTGGATACTCAGCAGTACTGCTGAGCCTCATTTATTGTTCATGGGAGGAGAGGCCACGATATATATATATATATATATACACACACATACATACACACTTAACAATGAAACTACAGACAAAAGTTCATTTTCTCCATCAAGACATTAATTTCAGCAGAACATTTATCTATATATGACTCTGATGTTAATAAAACAGTGCTTGATGTAATATAACAGAGCTAGTAAGTATGTACACATACATACCCCATATAAGGTAATTTTGAATTTTATGGTTTACCACTATTTGCTCTGTATCATAAATTCATTGAGCACTTTTTGTGGATCAGTTTTAATATTTTATATTACTAGGATCCACTTGGACCACTTACCAACAGATTTATTACCTTTGCTATATATATATATATATATATATATATATAAAACAATAAAAAAAATATTAAAAAATTAAAATCCTCAGACACACTGGGTTTTATATGAATATTCTTTCGTTTTTATTATTATTTCATTTAGATTCCTTGATTAGTTTCGGCCAACATGGCCATCATCAGGGGAAAAAAATTTTCTGCTTGCTGGTAGCAGTGAACTATAGAAATGAATGTCTTGTTAAAGAAAATGAACTTTTGTCTGTATTTTCATTTGTTTTTTAATTTTTTTAACATGAATTTTGGTCAGTCCTTGTGTGGTCAAACAGTCTTTTTTAAGTTGTTACTTAAGAGCTGGATTTGATTCATGCTGCTCTGAACTCCCTTGGTCATGTTGACAGGTTTATTGGTTCCTGGAATGTGTGTATATATATATATATATATATATATATATATATATAATAATAAAAAAAACGAAGGAATATTAATCTACAACCCAGTGTGTCTAAAGATTTTAATTTTTTTATTGTTCGAAATATATATATATATATATTGCACATTTAGTGCTATACAATGCTCACTTTTTAATCAGCACCTGATGATCATGTTGAACATGAAACTCAGAATTGTGACAAAAGTAAGGGGAATGGATATTTTTTTATAGATATATTTCATTGAATATGACATAAATAGAAGGCTGCTGAATAAACTAAATAGAAAATTAACTAAATCTTCCTTGTTTGCCATATTTGAGAAAAGATTGCTGCTCAAATGTACATTAATATTTAGAAAAATAGTATGACAAATTGGAAAAAAGTTGTCATGTTTCATTTTTTGTTCCACTTTGTCAAACTATTTTTCTAAATATATAGAATTATACACAATTATATATCATATATATATATATATATATTTAGTGTATTGAGGCAGCAGATCATTATTTAATCATATATTGTTAAATATAACACTGTCTATTATGTCTGATCATGAGCCATTCTAAACTTTGTATGTTTGCTTTAATTTTGGGTGAAAATAAAG